GGAGCAGGCAGTGAAATTACGCAGAAATAGAATTATTACTGGTGGTGTCAATTATAATTTAAAAAGATTGTTATTTCCTGGATATTATTGATACTTTCTAAAATTTATTATTTCTTTTCTCATTCTAAATAAATATTCACTTTGTGCCTCACTTTATATTTGTAACTTTGTGTTCATTTTCTTGGACAGCCCCCCTCAGCTTGCATAAGTGGGGTTCTGCTCGGTTGCTCTCCCCAAGGACCCTCGTGCTTGCTGCTCCGTGTTCACTCAGTGACCCACAACCATCTGTGAGCCCCTGGAGGTGGGCTTCCTGCCGGTCTGTGCCTTAAGCCCAGTACCTGGAGCACAGACATCCGTGGAGTGGGTGAATAGATACACAGAGGGTACAGTGTGGTTAGCTTTGGGGGTGAAATTAAGAATGATTTTTATCCTCTTTATATGTCTCGCACTTTTTCACAACGTTCATTGTGATATCATAAAGTTATATCATAACTTTTATAAATTTAAGGAAAAGATAATACCGTTTTTTTTTGTTTTTTTTTTTAAAGATGACCAGTAAGGGGATCTTAACCCTTGACTTGGTGTTGTTGGCACCACGTTCTCTAAAGTGAGCTAACTGGCCATTCCTACATGGGATCTGAACCCGCGGCCTTGGCGCTCCCAGCAGTGCACCTTCTTGAGTGAGCCACGGGGCCTGCCCAGTAACTGATCATTTTTAAAAAGAGTTTGGTGTATGCTAACAATACGTCTGTTCTCTGTTTGATGAGCGTGGAGTTCCGTGTTAACTAACTATTCTTTTTCATGGTAAACAGGCATGATTCTATCTGAAAGGGCACATTCAAATCTTGGGCTTGAATTGTGGGTTTGTCTATTTCTCTCTGTAGTTCCATCATTCCTGGCTTTACAGGAATTTGAATTTGGCCTCTTTATTTTTAGATTCAGGTGTGTTCACGTTGGTCATATCTTTTGTTCTATTTTTTCATTTAGTCAGAAAATAGGATCGACAGCTCTAGCTTTCTTCTGATTCACATCTGCCTCCTTTTATTTCCGTCCTATTGGTGTCCTTTTGTTTAAAGTGTGTATCTCTTGTAGACAACATATTGTTGACTCTTTTCTTTTAAATCCAACTCAAGACTACCTTTTAATTGGTGAAATTAGCCCTTTTACATTTAGTGTAAAAGCGCTTATCCTAATTTTGTTGTAATTATTGTAATTATGAATTACTGTTATTAGGACTTGTATTTATCATTAAATCGGAACCTTATTTTCTCACCTTATTTCATATTTTCATTCCCCACACATCTTTGCATTTATTTTTTCTCCTTCTGTTTCTACTGAGTAGATCTTTCTGCAGGTTTAAGAAATGGTGAATTTCTGTTTTGTTTCTTCCTGCAGCTGCCCTTGAGCCCCAAACCTGCTTACTCGCCCAGCTTGCTTTCTGCATCTTATCTTCACCCACATCTCCCTTCTGACCAGACAAGCATCTCAGCATGTTCTTACTTCCCTCGATCTTCACCCTCCCCCTCTCCACTGTGTTGTTATTATGTATAAGTTTTATCTAGATCATTATGTAGATCGCACATACATTGTAGATTGTATGTTTATTTTCTTTAGTCATTATTTTTGTGGGGAAAAATAATAAACCCTATCGATTGCTTCTTATTTCTCTTTTAATGATCTTCCGCACTTGGGTCTCTTAGTTGAATACTGCCCACAAGAGTGATTTCAAAGTCGACTCTTGGTGACGTGTCTTAAGAGAACATCTTCATTATAT